TGCTGGGCTCTGGCGATCCTTCCGCCTCAGCCTTCCGAGTAGCTGGAATTACAGGCATGCGCTACCACGCCCGGCTGATTTTTTTTTTTTTTTTTTTTTTATTGCAGAGATGAGGTCTCGCTGCCCAGGTGGGTCTCGAACCCGTGGGCTCGGGCAATTCACTCACCTCAGCCTCCCAAAGGCGCAGGATTACAGGCTGAGCCACCGAGCCTGGCTTTTGATTTCTATTTGACTACTTTGGTTTCAATTAGTCTGGAATAATAATGGCCAGTATTCATTGAGCACTTACCCATGTTCAAGTTTCCTCATTAATCTTGATACCTTAGTAAAGTAGTGGTAGTATAATCTTCATTTCATTGAAGAAAAACAAGCTGATGGAAGTTAAGTGACAGTCTCATGTCGCTAGTAAAGACAGCCGGAATTTCAAATCAGAATTATCTGACCCTGGAGGTGCTTGGTTACTTGTCTTCCCAGGAGATTCAACTGACCCTAGAGCCTCTTAAATGATATTAATTCACTGGTTAAAAATGAGTGGTGCATGATTAAACCAAGACAAACCACTTAAAATACTTTGAGCAAATTATCGCTACTCAAAGAAAGTCTAAGTCTATATCCGTCTAATCATACCAACCACCAATGCTCAACAATTATGATTGAATTTATGTACAGCATTTCTGAACCTTGATTTTTCCAGCATGGAAATGGTGAAAATAATTTCTACTCCTTCATTACTTCATATAAGACATAAGAAGTATGAATTTGACCATTATTCATGTAAATGTTATCATATCAATATCATAATTGTAATTGTTTAAAATAAACCACATCAGCCAGGCTTGGTGGCTCAGCCTGTAATCCCGTGCTTTGCGATGCTGAGGTGAGTGGATTGCCTGAGCCCACCTGGGCAACTTGGCGAGACCTCATCTCTACAATAAATCAAAAAATTAGCCGGGTGTGGTAGCGCGTGCCTGTAGTTCCAGCTACTTGGAAGGCTGAGCGGAAGGATTGCTGGAGCCCAGCAGGTCGAGTATGCAGTGGCCAGGAGCATGCCACTGCACTCCAGTCTGGGCTACAGAGTGAGACTCCAACTAAAACAAAATAAAAAATAAAAAATAAAATAAGCCACATCATTGGTTTACTTTTTTTTTTAAATGTAGTCCTTGGTTTTGTTTTTGCACTAACGAGTCAAGAGCAGTATTAGGAATATCTTAGAATGTGTATGGCCCATAGGAGCAATACATTGAATTAATAACTTTTTTTTAAAGGGCAAATGTTAATAGTCTAAAACTTCCTATCCACAGTTTCACCAGTACAACCCACTTTTTCTAGGGGTACATGGTTACCATGAATTGGATTCCTTAACAGTGCGAATGAGGGAATAGGCTAAGTTTATTGATCCCCTGTACTTTTTCCCTGTCAATTTGCCGGTTTCTTTTGCAAGATTTTCTTAATACTAGCATCTCTGTGATCCAGCGTATCCTGACCACAAAATGCTTCTCTTCTTGGTCTTTGAGTTCAATGTACTTCATGTCCCAGGAAAATGACTATCAGTGGAAGTAAACAGCAACTTTTTTTTTTTTTTTTTTCTGAGTCAGAGTCTCACTCTGTTGCCCTGGCTGGAATGCTCAGGGCCATGGCAGCCTTGACCTGCTGGGCTCAGGCGGTCCTTCCGCCTCAGTCTTCCAAGTAGCCGCTATGCCCAGGTGATTTTTATTTAATTGTGGAGACGAGGGCTCGCCATGTTGCCCAGGAGGGTCTCAAACCCGTGGGCTCAGGCAATCCTCTAGCCTCGGCCTCCCAAAAGTTCTGGGATTACAGGCATGAGCCACGGTGCCCAGCAACAGCAACACTGTAATTCTGTAGACTTTATCCCTTTTCTTCGGAATAGTATCCCATGTCGTACGTTTGTTCCTCTAAACGTGTCCTTTTGAAAGGAGTTGATCATCCTAGATTACTCTCATTGGTTATTACATATAATAACAGCCGTAAGTACTTGGAATAGCAGCATTTGCGCTATATCTGGCATTAACTAATCTACCTATTAACTCATGAGCTCCTTATGACAGCTGGACGAAGTAGATAACTACTCTTTATCTTTACAGTTGAGAAGATTGAGATGCAGAGAGGTTCAGCTACTTCACAAGATCACAGAGGTATTGGAGCTGGAGAGCCAACCCAGGGTCGGCCTCCAGAAGAAGTTATTGCCTTAGGCTATGCAACGGCTCTTAAAGGACCCTCAGGACCCGGAAGGAAACGGGGGGGGGCCGACATAATGAAATTATATCGACAGGAGTTTGGGGTTCCCAGAGAGGCTCTGGGCTGAGGTGCCCAGCAAGAAGGTAAAGCGACGAGGGCATGGCTGTGTCACACCTGGGCCCTCTGGAGCCCCCAGTGCTCGGAGCGAGCCTTCCACGTCCACCGGGGAGGTCGCCCGCCGCCTTGGGCGGCATCCCCCGTCGGGAAAAGGGAGTCCCGGGGCCGCCCCTTGGTCTTCTGGGCCTCCCTGGACGATGCTTTTTCCCTTGTCCTTAGACAGGCTGTGGAATTCGCTAGGGGCTCTCCCCGAGGCGTCTTACGAGCCGCGTCCCCTGCTCTCGGGGACCCCGGAGTGCC